AATTACTGGTCAACTCTTTTTTTTAAGGTTTTTTCAAGGTTACCTTGAATTTTTTGCAACTGAACATATAATTTTTTTACGCCTGTCTGTTAGAGGATTTCAAGACGAATCCGGCACATGTAAGGACATGACATTTTTTTCATCTGGTTCGAAAGAAAATTAAAAAACTTTGTATCACAAGGAGAATCACAGCTACGCCGTTATACGCATCCATTCTGTCGTCTTCAGTCGCAATCAGTGTAGAGGACAGGCCATAAAGAATGCAAAACAATCTTTTGTTCACCGTCTACGCGAATGCATTGCAGCTCGTGGACACCATTTTGAACATCGATACAATTAAGATTCGTAAATTTTGACTTGTCAACAACATTGGTTGCGTAATAACGGCGTAGCTGTGATTCTCCTTGTGATACAAAGTTTTTTAATTTTCTTTCGAACCAGATGAAAAAAATGTCGTGTCCTTACATGTGCCGGATTCGTCTTGAAATCCTCTAACAGACAGGCGTAAAAAAATTATATGTTCAGTTGCAAAAAATTCAAGGTAACCTTGAAAAAACCTTAAAAAAAAGAGTTGACCAGTAATTGTTCACTATCACGTTAAAGCTCTCTTGAAACCATGCAAAAGCTGATAAAAACATTTTCGATCGGACTGCTAATAACAAAGTAATCTCTACTGATCACGCTCCGTTGTCCACCCTGTATGTACAGCTACTCATGCACTCCATAGTGTGCAGTATTTTTTCATTTTTTAAACGCTTTAACAAAAATTCTAAGGAATTCTAATTTTTATCCAAATGAAACCCAGCAACTCCTAGATTTGTTTATGAAATTCATCACTCGCTTTCATTCATTGACCGTAACACCGTAAAATAGGATAATGACGTACTCAGTACCTAAAACAAACATAGATCATTAAAAGAGGGTGAATAATTTTCTCAACAAATAGAATTTTATTATGAACTAATTAATACTTACGGAAGTGAACACTTCCAGAGTCATGGGACAAAATTTGCCAACTGTCAATGAGCACGGCTTGTAGGACCTCATGACCATTATGGTCATTCCCTGTCTCAGTGCTCGACCATATTCATCGCACGGTAACTTGTACCATTTGCATCGATACGCAGCTTCCCCAATAGCGGCGCTGGCTGTCAATATTTCATTGCACGAGAAAGCGAAGAGGACTGTTTCAGCCAGAGCAGCCATGATAAATTCTACGCTTAAAATTTGACGATGCAGTTTCGTGGTTCCATCTCCCTGTTAACAAAATATTTCAGTTTAGAACAAAAATTTTTATAGCGTTTGGCTCCTTCAATTACTTTCTGCATATAGCACTTATTCACATAACATAGATTGTTCGATAATAATTTTTATGTGCTTCGGGAAAAGGATGAATTATTGGAATGCTAATTAGTCCTAGGACAACACCTATTCCTCCGACGATAATGAGTGATGACACTTACCAAAATTATTTGAAATCCAGAAAAGCAGAGTATTATGACGGCACATAATACGAGCATCAACAATATGTAGGAGAATAGTCCTTCCAGTTCATCCAAATACCAAATTAGTAGTTGATGTTGGATGACGCACTTTTTGAGTTTTTTGTATGCAAGCATAGTATCATTATTGTTATATGATGATTTTGTGTTTACACTTTCAAGTTCTACCTCGCACACGTTCTCCAACTCTCGCTGCAAGATTTTAAAGAAGCCGGAAACAAAGATGCACGTGTAGAATAGATACGAGGCGAACGCTACGCTGCAAATACCTATACTAATTGCTCCAATCGCCTAATGGATATTATTTATGTCAGCAGCATGTCAATAATTTAAACTTATTATTAGTGATTAAACATATAAATGATAACTTGGACGTTTTAGTGTTTCCTCTATATTTTTTGTATAGAATACACGAATGAGTATCAAGTGGAGTACCACAGAAAGTCAAATTTGTATACGTAAAGTAGAAGTAAAATTATTTCACTGTCACTCGTACTTTGAATACTATTTTTTGTTGTTTTAATTATAACTTTTATTATTATTATACTTCCCACGAGACATACCTCAGTACCATACAATATCTCATAATATGGGGTCACTGTGAGTGGCAAGTTGAACACTACTGGAAATGGTAACGCTCTCTCAGTGGTATTTGTTCCTAAGGCATCTAAATTGTATAAATATAGTTTAATTCTTACACAGAATACAAATAATTTCTACTCGTGATGATATGAATTTATTTTTTAATTAATATTTGTTATAATTATTTTAGGTCTTTGTTGTTTTATCCTTAAATTATCCGTTAAGATAAATAGTTTAAGACTTACCCCAGTATGGTCCTGTTAAATAATGAAATGCAAGGATAGTTGATACTAGAGCTAATATACTCATTCCAATGGCACTTGTAGTATCGCACTTGTCTAGTATTGCTTTATCCAGTTCATTGTAATCCTTATTCCAAAATGTATCTTCAGTAAATTTATGCAGTTCATGCAGTTCATGCCGCTTGTATGTGAATATCAGTAATTTTACAAAATCGAATGTCACGGTGAAGGAACATGGTGCATTATAAGTGAGGGCCTATAATTCCATTAAAAATCTGATAAGCACAGAGATTTCTGTATTACATGATAAGACCACGTTTTCACTTAAATGAAACGCTAGATCAAAAAGTGCCAAAATCGACGAAACACTGCTTACATAGAGATCGTTCCGTGAATAAAATAAATCTGAACTTTCGATACTTATTGCAATTAAAACCGTCGTAAATATGTAGACCAATAACGTGTTTATTAACAACTGTTCATGTTTAGTGCTACCGCGTTTCATACCAATAAGTGTCATTAGCAATTGCGATATCTTCGTCGATGTGTAACCTTCCACAATAGTTGGCATTTTTTTTACTACTCATAATGCGAGGACTGTCCTATTGCAACCAAGAATAGGAAACGTAATGCATGCAGGATCGAAATGTAATAGCGGCTTCCTTTTCTCCTTCATCTTTCATTTCTTTGTTTCTTTCAGCCCCACTTGATCGAAGCGTCACTAACACAGATTTGCATTATCGATGAAGTTCTTACTTTGAACTCGTATGACACTTTGATCAATTTAATCCCTTTGATATGTTTATTAAACCGAACTCGTCATTACGCTGCAATTTTATTTCTGTGTTATAAAATTAGCTTCAACCCCTTGAACCATTAGCTATACACCGTAACTGAAAGCATGTCTGTTATACCGTATAGAGAACTCCAAAAATAGAATATTCATTAACATTATTCATTATAAAACAACCAGTAAATTTACTTGAATAAGAATATAATTTCATTGCAAGAGTAAGCGAATAGAGTAAGTTGCATGGTGCCGACGAAAGTATATTCAATGATGAGAATTTTACAATGGAAACTAACAACTCCCGTACCCTGTTTGATAATGAGGTTCAATCAAAGTTCCATAGTTCCATAGTCCCCCTCCCATATTCTTGCCGTCAAACCAATCACACGGCAGAGCATATTTTTTATAATGCTTACTATTGTATTTCTATCCGTTATTATCATTTGAATGGTGTGCACGGTAGTAGGGGAACGCTCTACTTATTAACTTAGTTTGGTGAAGAGGAGAAATTGCAGCTGTGGAATTTTTACTGGATTTCAATTAGATATTATGTTATTTGTCTGTGCTTTGTGGAGGAGATTGGGGAATATTCGTTATTGGAACTCAAACTAGTTTTATAGTAAAAATAATAGTTGAGTGCTTGATGAAAATTTATTGTATTTACTAAAACCAGTTGAAAGCCAGAGAAGCAAAGTTTTATGACAATGCTTAATACAAGCAGTAGCAGTGTGTAGCAAAATTAACCTTCCAGTTTTCTTATGTACCAAATTATTATAGTAACTGATGTCGCTTAATACAGTTTTTGAGCTTTTCCTAAACAGCCTTGTCTTCATAAGAATTATATGCTGACTTTATAGTTTCACTTTTTAATTGCATCTTACATACATTTTCCAACCTCCGCTGTAAGATTTTAAACTGGCCAGACATAAATATTAATGTGTAGTAAAAGTACGATCCAAATGTTAGAGTGCAAATGCCTGTGCTGGCAGTTTTAATTATTTGGAAAACAATACATGAATTATTATGTATTGTTTATATTGTATAATATATTGGTAACTATGTAAATAATAAGCCAAGAATTACAACTTCGTCATTGTTTTTGGAAAAACCCTTTAAAAGATGAAACTCAAGTCAATCTCAAGATTGACTATACAATTTTTTATTTTGGGCAGTAAATTCCAGTATTGAAGTTTGGTACGTATCTTATGTTGATATTCAAATTTTATATATAGTATTTTAATATATTTTTGTTACTACTATAATAGTGTTTTAAATTACCTCAATGGAAAGTGCTATTATGTAACATAATGTATTTTGAAGTGGCAGGTCGTATACTATTACTTTGAATGGCAACGAGCTCTCTGTAATGTCTGTTCCAATAGCATCTAAACTGCACAAATAAACTGTTATCCTTGATATAAAATTCAATAATACATTTAAATAAATAAGTTTTAATATCACTTTACACACAGTCATATAATTAGTACTAATAAAAGGTGAAATTATGCAAGTCGGTTAACATCCGCAATTCTCAACCTTATATATTACTCAGAAGCCAAGAATTACAACTTTGGTCATTGTTTTTGAAAAATCCCTTCATTATTGTTATTCCTCATAGAGGTAATATCGGGTTCTCGATTAGGTGTGGGTAGAAGGTACTTTTGCCATGTTATTTGCTATGCCGTCGTAGACGCTTTTCCCTTATGCGTTTTGAATAATATATCTATAGTATCGGAATAATAGGTAGATGAGAGAACGTATGTACTAAGACAGCTGTGAAAAAAAGAGGAAGACGGAAAAACAGCACTCTACATAATTCTTTTTATAATTTCTATTGACGAATGAAACTTAAAAATTCCTATTAACGTATCTTGTGATATTATGACACATTATATTTAGAAAGGGTGCTGTAAAAACTGCATAATGACTAAATTGAAAGATAATTTGACGAATAATAGAATATGATTCACTTACTATTATGTAGTCATTACTGTCTCATTCAACTGTACATAATTCAGTACAATAGAAACTGCTATTGTACTTGTAGTATATTTACAGGGCTTTCTGATTTTCTAAACCGCATAAGAAAAACAAATTCTAATTTTTTATAGACACTGGAGACTTGTGTTATCTGTGTATTAATAAAGTACTTTATCAGGCATAATTCTTTGAAATATAATATATACTTACTTATAAGTCCGCCATTACTGAAAAGAGGCTGCATATAAATAAGTATGCGCGCACACGCAATTGTATCTATAGGTTGATGAGTAATTTAATTAGACTGATGTCGATTAGAATACTAAAATGCCAAAAGTAGGTGGCGCAATAATATTTTCATATATTAACCGAATTTTTGACATTTTTTTCGAAGACCAAATGTATAAATATGTAACAGATTGCTAACGGTCTCGTTAATTCTTCTTTAACCTTACAAAAGATGCGTGGCATAAAAGAGACTGGGGTCCCACTAGACCCCTTTATCCTTTTCAGTGTTACGATAAATATTTTGGATAACAGTGTTTGTACTTATTATAGAGACATTGCTTTATTTCTCTATGATAGATTACTCTTCACTATTAATTAATAACAATTCAGATATTATGATATACTAATTTCATGCAATGCTGAAGTAAATATGCATGGGAGTGATAATTTCCAATTATATGATATTGATAAGACTTACCAAACGGGTTTGAAATGCAGAAAAGAAGAAAATCATGACTACCTGTAGACAAAATATGTAAAAATTAGTAATATTATATGTATATAGTGAAAGCGATGTTCCCGTAGGTTTACTTACCATAAATAATGTTTGCTGCAACCCTTTTGATTTTTGTAAACTGTTTTCTTATCAATAAGGAAGTAAGCTTTAAGGACAAGCAGTTTCACTGCGTACCCTATGCAAATCGAAAACGAAATAAAATCGAATTTGTTTCGCAAAATTATTACAGTTTTACTGGTAGTAGAAATTCATTCGTTACGCCATTGGCGACGCTACATAGTGGAGCCACCTACGAGCAAATAGTAAAACTTGTAACTAAAGCAACCTGGCGCTGGGACTCATCAAAGTCGCGAAGCAATGCAGTGTGTGGTTTCTTTAGCCATAACAATCTCTGCGTTGTTTTAATTTTCTTTAGTGTTATTGTTCTGCCTAAATAACTGTTTTGTTTGTAATGAAATGTGCGGTTTTATGAGAGTTTTTCGTGAAATATCAATGAACTACTGGCATATATTGAAACTTGTAGCTAAAGCAACATGGCGCTGGGACGCTTTAAAATCGTATAATGACGCTGTGCGTGTTTTTCTTTAATATTTCCCTATGCAGGGAATGCTCGGTCATTTCAGTTTTCTTTGCTGTAATTCTTGTGCCTAAATAATTATTGTGTGTGAAAAATATCGGTGTGTGCGGTTTTGTTTTTTTCGGTAAATATCAAGAAATTACATTCTTGCCTGGCGTGATAGCTATGATGCATTAAATAAAGCTGTGATAGCATCAACGTATTTGAAGCATTCGTTTTCTGTGTTTCCGTCTTACGTAACTAAAAGGGTGAGTAGTTTTGTATGGTAAGCTGCTCAAATGTATTGTCTAACATCGAGTATTTGCTATATTATGAATTATTAGATTCATTAGGGTTTCTTATAATTAGTCATTCTCATTCGCTCTATGTAGTACAGTGATGTATGGATAGTGCTGACTGAAAATATATATTATAACGGGGTGCCCGGCTCGCCACCGCTGTAATAAATTTATCCACAGGGCCATCGGGGAGCGCTAGAGGGCTAGGAATTTCCGAAAAATAAGGAGTTCTGATCGGGAATCGAACTCGATAATTTCGGATTGCCAACTCGGGAACTTAACACTGTGCAACCGAACCCACTGTCCGACCTGATAAGTTCTAGCTATTTATTTTTCGGTCATTCCAAGGTCGTATCCCCTTCAGCTCTGTAACGCCACGTTACAATATATATATTTACATGTGTGATACAGAAAATGATGGCTAAACTGCAGAATACGACTCCTTAAAATTAGCTGTAAATCGTTAAGTTTTCTTTTCTATGTGTAACCCTGCAAGAAGCAGTCGTATTCTACAGTTTTACCCCGTTATTATCAATACTTGTCTTGTAGCTCTGCCATTCTCATAGTTCGTCACGTTATACCATTTGCTGCGATATATCGCTCCCCTGCGGCAACACTGACTTCGATTATTTAATTGCAGGAGAATCAAAATTGAGCAAACTCTCTCGTGTATTTCGTGCAACGTATCTTTGTTATTACTTTTTTATATATTATTATAATTTCGTTACTTAGCGACAACGTCGGAACATGGGGTCTTGAAATGCAGAAGGGAAAATCGTGAACAGTGAAAATCGTCAAATCAGGCAGCATGGATTTCTCTTTCTCGCAGTATAGTAAAATAAGACATTGCTGTACTGATTACCTAATAATGACAATCTGATTTACCATAAGTCGACAGTTAGTGATTATTATAATAATTAAGCAATACAATAACAGTACGAGTATTATTAATTAATACATACATTGCAATCATGATATTTTCCAAAATTATCACCTTTGTAAAGGAATCCAATGATACTGGAAAAAATCCTCCGGCAGTTAGACATAATGGACGCTGTGTACGTTGCACAAGAAATTTTATTCCGTGCCTTATACTTCGTCCACCTTTATCGTAAGGCGTAACGTACCAATCTGCGTGAAATGCTACATCCGCTAATTGTAAACTAGCCACTGTTATTTCGTTGCACGTGAACGTGTACGTAATTAATTGAACAATGCATCCACACATATAGGCGATGAAAATATAACGTTTGGTAATTTCAACTATGCCCTGTGCGTGATACATGCACGTGATGACAAACAGTTATTATATAATTAAAAATCATTATCCTGAACTAAGTTTGAAATTAGAATTTTTGGCCTGAGTTTTTTTTGAAATTATTAACAGAATTCGATATACTATTCTAATTACTTACGGACAGTAATTGAAATCCGACAAGACACGTGAGTAAACTCGATGTCAACATTTGACCAAGTATAATGATTGTAAAAATACGCTCAATCTGTTGAACGTACCAAATCACCATTTCATGGTATTTAATACAGTTACACAATTTATTGTAAGCTATGCTGGATTTTTCCAAATTTTTCAACTTTTCGTCACTGTACATTTTTGGACTCTCGATACGATTTTCGTCGTATATACATTCCAGTCTGGATTGAAGTATTTCAAGTTGACCACTGACATGTATGTTTAAAACACAGAGAAATATGTCAAAGCAGAAGAAACAAATTGCGACTTGAGTCGTTATCAAAATCTATTGAAGGGACAATGATCTGTATTGATTTTTATAATTGTTATCATGGGGTAATAATATTTAGAAATTTTAAAAGAGCACACCTCGACAAAGTACATGATTTCAAAATATGGCGTTGTCGCTAATGGCAAGTCCAACCACACTTTAATCGGATGAATTCTGTCGGTTTCATTTTTTCCAATGTTTTCTAAAATATATTTTCGTTAGGATGTAATCATTACTGTGTCATCGTAATCAATTGTTTATGTACCGATAATTGGCCTCATCATGTAACTGCAACCTGTCCCGCACGCTGACATTATAAACGCCAATATTAAAACGATGCACTGCCGTTCGCAATTTTTCAAAATATCCATCTCAGTGGACTTGTAATCTTTGTGCCAGAATTCATTTAGCGAGAACGAAATGAGATTCGCGACGGAATTTCTGTGCCATGTCATAATCAACAGTTTAAAAACAACTGTCAAAACTGTCATCAAATTACAGATAGTAAACACCATGTCCTGAAATAATATAATTATCGACTGAAATTATTAACCCACGCAATATTTTACTACGTACGTCAGTGTAATATATGGGTATTGTATTATTTATTTTTAGTATTCCAAAGCTATAAAAATAACCTACATACAGATCTTCTGACAAGTGATAAAGATCCAAAGATAAAATCACCGCTGCAAGTAGCACAGCAACTCTTGTATATATTAATGCAAAGTCAATCACCATTTCATCCCTCTTACTTTCTACTATCCAAAAACCTGTGAGCCTTAAAAAAAAACGCGTCACCCTTATTGAGAAATAATGATCCCGATCCAACCCCATATCGCGACGAATACGTATTGTCGCTGTGTTGCACTGAACTACAGCCGTGGAGTAATTACGGTAATAGGTCTTCGATAACAACAGGTCTGCATGACGTAATCGTTAGTGCTTTGATGCATAGCGATTATTTATTCTGATAGCGAAAATCATCATTAAACTTAAAATGCAGGTGGATCTATATCCTTCAGTTGTCTGTTAGACGTAAAAGTTCAAAGCGTACCTTCATGACTTTTTCAGTCTCGCTTACAATGAAAGGGAATCGCGACTCAAGATGCTAAGAAAGATAGTAGCAAACGTCAGTGTAAAGCGTTGGGAGATACAATGTAATATAGGGATATGTCAAAGAAATAAAAGTCGTTGACCCACGTGTGATGAAATTTATGAGGAAATTCGTCGTCTGGTTTTGGGCCAAAAATTATTAAGTGAAAATTGAATAAGACTTAAGACAGAATTTCGATGTCATGCCAGAATAAACTATTTAAATCCGACTGTAAAGACTGAGATAATGAAAATCATATTCTGAAATTTATTTACCACTTAGATTATCTACTACTTAGAATTGGTCTTAATAAATGACACTTCTTTGATGCATCAAACCTTGTCGTTCTGTTGCAGAGAGTCATGAATATAGTTAAAATGCAGTTTCAAGCAGACGTTTTTGTAATCTCCAGTTCTGGCTTAATATTAAAGCCGGGCAGGTATGTATCTTTTTCACCATGCATTACAGTATGGTTCGAATATGCTAGAAACAGAAATCATTAGAATTATCATTAGAAATTATTTGTATTGTTGAATCGAATTAGCTGTCCTTGTTCATTCATATGAGCATAGGTAATAATAGAATTGGGGAGTCAATGTAATTCGTTTTTGTAATCAGAACAAAATATTTGTTATATTCCCATGTCTGGTATCAGTAACACTTCATGTATCCATTACAGTTTCGGCACCGATTTGTCGTAGCAGAGTGAAGTATGACGCTGCTGTACTCAATACCTAAAACATAATTTATCATCCTTGTTAATTGGCTTAATATTTTAATTATATAATATATGTATATATTTATCTTGCAGAAAATTACAGCAGTGAATGTGTCGAGGGACACGTGACAGAAGCCTCCGGCACTTAAATGACACGGACGACTGGCTCTTATCATTACCAGCTGCAAACCAATTCGCAAGCTCCTTCCGACGTCATCGTAAGGGGTATTTGCCCAATTAGCGTTGTAAGCAGCATCGGCAATACCACCACTTTCAATGATGATCTCGTGGCACGTTGACGTGAATAACAGCAATTGGGCGAAGCAACCCGAAGTGTGGGCGATAAATATAAGACGTCTGATTATGGAACCATGAGTCTGGTATAATAATTATTATTAATATTATACGTTAAACTGTCGATTAAGTTATTCGTCAAACGAGTATTCGGAGAACGTCACTTTTAAAATTTGTAATTTTCTTATTACGATTCATAGTAATTGAGGCTCTTACGAGAAGTGCTTGAAATCCTGCCATGGTCATCATTAGACTTGATATTAAAATTTGACATAGTATAATGAAGGTAAAGACACTCTGCACTTTTTCTGTGTAATCGATGAGAATCTTGTGATGCTTTACACAGTCTTTGAATTTTATATAAATTTCCTCGGAATCTTTCATGAAGTGTAATTTATCTGTGATTGGCATTTCCTGCTTGTTATCTCCGTCGTAGACTAGTGCGAATCTGTGTTGTAACATTTTGAATTGGCCAGCAGCGTGTATGTTAAGTATGCAGAGAAAGATATCAAAGCAAAAGAAACAAATTCCGATATGAACGATTGTTAGACTCTATAGAGTTACGTTAATTAAAATTATTATTGATTTTGAGAATATGAAATTTTAAAAAAATCAAAATTCAACTACCTCCATGACAAAACAAATTTCAAAATAAGGCGTTGTTGTTACCGGTATATTTATCCATAGCGTGACAGGTAGGACTCTGTCTGATTCATTTTTTCCAATATTCTCTATAATCAGTTATTACTTAAGTATATAAAATATATTACTCGCGTGAAATAAAATATCAAAATCATATATGATATTTATCAAAATACTTACCAATTATTGGTGTTAGCACGTAACCAATGACGGTTCCTTGGACAAAAAATATAAACGTGCACATCAGCAGAACACCTTTTCTATCAATATCATCCAGTACACTCATCCCATAAGAATCATAATCTCCCTGCCAAAATTTTGTCTCAGTAAATTCAATTAGCTCCATCACGAGTTTACGTCGTAGCAAAAGGAAAAATATTTTGGCTAATACAATAATCACTGGCATAGTAGCGCACGCTGTGTAGGTCGTAGCCTATAATGAAATTTTGAACTTCAATCGTGAACAAATTTTTATCAATTTTGAAAAAAGTAACTTTAAGATATGTACTTGTAGCTCACATAAAAATTTCCCCAACAATAATAAATATCGAATCCTTCTATAGCCACTGCAAGAAGTATGACTAGTATCGTGTATGACAACGCACAGTTCATTATCCATTGTTCATTATTATCTTTTGGCACCCAAATGCCAACTAGCTTCATGAAAAATCGTACCAACTTAATCGAAAGATATTTGTTCGCGTGTGACGCCATCGTGGGAGCTTAGGTAGCTACTGGCACCTTACATGTCCTGTCGTCACGCAACCATTAAATTAATGGCACGTAATGATACGTATGTAACGTCAAACTTGACACCTCCTCTAATCAATTGATATTCCTGCGGATATCAGACTTCTCCAGAGGGCCAGACAGTTTCCGTGACGTATTACAATCATTTTCTGTCACTTTCACCAGCAGTGAAGTTGCCTCTCACGTTATTCAGAAATATTTAACTTGTAGAATGACTTCACGTTGTACTTGGAATTTGTATTAATTTTACTGCTAGACATTATATCAATCGTGATAATGCTGTATATCGATATATAAATGAAATATATTGAGGAAATTATATAATATGTTAGAAACAAGTGCTGTGATTTAATATCAGTATTTTTATACAAATTTTCATGTACTGTCTACCTAATCTATTATCATAGTCTACAGAGATATAACCGGCGCTGTGCACAATTTTCATTGTTTAATTAATTTATTAATCTTCCTCGCTCACTTGACGCAGTACAGTGAAGTAGGACATTGCTGTGCTCAAGACCTAAAATATTAATGATATTAACATTTTCGAGTTTTTTATATCTGACAAATTTAAAAAAATGTTTATTACCGATGCAAATGTTTCTAGTGACAGTGGACAGAATTTTCCCACGCTTAGGCTGCATGCTCTATGGGATCTTAAGATTATTAGCATTAATCCATCTCGTATGTCTTTCCCTTTTCCAGTGTAAGGAATCTTGTGCCAATTTGCATTGTACGCGCCGTCTGCCACTTCCAGACTTCGCATGATGACTTGATGACAGACCCAGGAGAACAAAAAGAATTGGCAATTTATTGCGAGAAAATATTCGCAACATAGCAGCTTTCTGTGAGTAGTCATATCTGAGACCTGTGAATCGTAACAGTGAAATTAATCAATTTGATTGCAGAAATCGTATGTGAGCTATATGAATGATTGACGAACTATTTTGAATTTTAAGAAACAATGAAATTTAGTTGAAAACCGATAATTGTGTTTGTGCAATTATTTTTGGTGACGTTATCATAAATTAATTGGGCTGGTATTGGCAGTGATTAATTAATTAGAAAATATGCTCTATCTTATTATTATCGATGGATCGATACTTACCGTAACTAATTGAAAACCTGTTAAACATATAAGCGAGGTCGAGCTTAAAGCTTGTGCCAGCATTATATAGCAATACATATCCTCCATTTGTTCAATCACGGAAATTAAAATCAGATGACGTTTTATGTATTCCTTTAAATTTTCATAAATCTTATGCATCAAGGCTATTTCGTCGTTAACGTCTATTGCGAATTTTTCGAAATCTATTTCGCACAGTGTTCCTAAATTTATTTGCAAAATCTCTAATTGTCCAGCTGTGTATATGTTTGTTGTACAGAAAAATATTCCTACCGATGCCGTTGTCACCCCCACACTCACTGTTGCCAGACTCTGGCAATAAAGTTTCATGAGTCAATGACAATTGTCAAAATTTTAAATACGAATAATAAGGCAAGGGCTACCTGTACTGTGTAAACTATCTCGTAATACGGAGTTCTGCTATAGGGAATTATTTCTTGGGAAATCCACAACTTGAACGGTAAAGTTTTTTCAGTTACATTTTCGTCCATCATATCTAAAACGTAATTAATTATTATAGTCAATTAATACGTCTAAATGAATACGTATGACTTAAATTTGTATAATTGATGTGCATATGATATAGGAGGATTTTTCACTAGGTCTCTAGAAATTCAAAATGCTTTTTTTTTTTTTTACTTAGACAGATTACACTGACCAAAAATGGGTCCACTAACGTAATGAACAACCATCAGTTGACTGATAGACAAAAATATAGCTATTATCCATAAAGAGTGTCTGTTGCATTTATCTAAGACGTCTGTAGCGACTGGATTTTTTCCAGATCTCCATAAATTTTCATTCATATATTTTGCCAGTTGAATTAACTTTCTTCGATTTCTGGTCAAAATCACCATAGCTCCTAATGCCAAAGCAGTTGTTTCCGTACATGGCGTAGCATTAGAAATTGCCTACGGTCAATGTAATGTAAAATACTTTTTTTTTTTTGACAAATACGTAAAAAAATTATTAACAATTAAATAACACAGTTCTTACGTATAAATTTCCTAACGAATGATACAAATCCAAACCCGTTACTATACCGGCTACTACACAAGTCATTGATATGTATATAATGAGACCGATATAGATATATTCCTCGCATGGATTTTCAGTATGCCACATACCGATAAATTTCATATACACTCTTATTATTTTAATCGAGGTATAATCTTCCTCCATATTGAAGTAGTATATAGTAATTCAATGTGATAGCCGTGGCAATTGGCAGTAATTGCAAATGATATACAAATTTCGACTTCATTCGATATCTGATATATTTAATTCATTTGATCGAGGCCTTAGCTAATTAAAGAAAACGAAGAATAATTGAGACTGTTAATTAGTAATTAACTTCGAGACAAAGAACAGTGCATCTTGTAGAAATAATTTTGCAAATTTAATAAACCTACTCACGTATACACATATATGTTGCGTGGAATAAAATTCAATTTTTTATCACTCCAAATTCACGATACTCCTTGGCAGGATGACCAAAAGACATTAAATCGAATGACGTCCTCTTCTTGGATACACCAACCTTTTTCCCTCTACTCTCAGAAAATCATACCCTACATATCTAACTATTATGCTAATGTTGCATAATATGTACGTCGGACTCGTCACACGTGACACTTCTTTGATCTATCCAACCGTGTTATTTCATATATGTATATTAAAACATCCTATAATAAATCTTATTTGCATCGAATTAGAGGTTCACTATTCGCTGTTCACTGTATGGATTTGTGAAATAGTCGTCAGTCCAAAATTCTTGAGAGTGCAGGAAACATCGTTTGGCTAAAATACTATTTCCGGTATGAATGAAGCTGAGCTTCCCTTAAAATATTGGGCGTTCACTTGCAGTCATTAAAAAGAGTTTGCAATAATACCGTAAATAAGATGCAAACATATTTGGAAGATCGATGTACGCCCGAAGAAGTATATCAATGAATTTAATTGCAAAACAGGTAATAATATATATTTTTTACATTACCCAATACTTGTATCACTTAGTTGTTCTTATGTATGTCCAAATTTACATTTGCGTCACAAGCAACACGATATATATTAATTTCACTTGTTTTTCGCTCTCACCTCTTTTTTTTTCAATCTGTCGAAAAAGCACATCGACCTCGTAAACCGACTACATATTTCAGCCAGGTCCAACTTATCTTGACCGATCAGATCAATTCGATCGTCAATGAGTATTCGTGATGGCTATAATTTTCATAATCAATAACACAAGCAATAACGAATGGGATCGGTGGTGAAGGTATTTTATTGAGAAAATACATACAATTTATATCTTTGTAAGATCATTGCATTTTCTAGCTTTGCAAGAAGATTAATTCAACGTCACAAGTTTATTTGATCCTGGTTGGATCAATTAATGAATTGAGTAATATTAATAATAATAGTAGTAGTAGTAGTAGTAGCAGTGGCAATAATAATAATAATAATAATAATAATAATAACAGTAGATGCTAGCGTAAACTAATTTATCATATAAATTCCTTCGATAAACAAGTTTGCGACGTTGAATAATCGTCGTATTAATCGTCGACTTATTCTTAATGTCAATCTCAATTAAAACTATTCAATAGTTTGCATATGGATAAACACTTACGTATTCTTAAATGATAATCTATTATAGTAGGTAAGGTAGGTTGGGTTTAGCGATGTCAATACATACATTTGGTGTGTAATAAATATTTGTAATTAACATTTTCATCTTTTTTCAAATAGATATATATATATATATTTATTTATATATATGTATGTATACTTCCTTACCTAATATGTTTCTATTATTTCATTGTTATTCGGATATAACGTTGTCTATCCACATAACACGTACATACGTAACTGAAGTAAAAAAAGAAATGGATATAATAAGTCCAATAGATGCTAGCCTACGCACGAGTATATGGACACAAATATATATAATTCGATGAATAATCGAATAACGAATTGTATCGTACGAAATGTCACGTTATTTGCAGAATTATAATTAGCGACTGAAAATTATGTAAATCAGGAAAATATATCGAAGCTTTTTCGTCATTGGTATCATCGTTACCTAACTAAGACAATTATTTAATCTGTACTATGACGGACAATTCGAAGCTCTTTTATGGATCAATACTTAATAAATATCGATTATCGGATATAGGTTGATCGCTGAACTTTAATCAAATCTTGCACTTGATCGATGAAGGATCAATTGGATTTATAAAAATCGCAATAAATTACATAACTAGGGAGAGGTATTTTGTAATCGTTCGAAATTGCATGATTTATGCGAATCGTGTTTAGGTACGTGATCGTTTTTTTTTTCTTTCTTTTTTGAGGAATCCTTGCAAATAAACGAATGTCTTAACGTGTTCCACGTTGATCTTTGTAAACGATATGTTCAACGTTATTTAGACCTTTTTTTTTTTTTCAAATTTTCATTCATTCGTTTTGACGAATATATTAGAGAAAAAAATTGGTTAATTTTACGTCGGACGAAAAAATCACCTAACATCCATTCACTTTCTATCGCATTGCCGTTTATGCTACGACCGCTTCAAATGTTATCGTCTTATGATTAAACAATATCGATTATGGGATTGTGTTATATACTGTTAAAAAATATAGTTTTATAATGTTATCAGTGCCGCACGTAGCTACTTTGGGAAGTATGTACTATAGCAGTAGTGGGGTAAGGCCAAAGTTTTGTTCGGCTTCGTAGAATATCCTTTCATGTTGCGGTAGGTACGGGTATGAAAGTTCAACACGAAGACACAATTTGCGTCACGGCGTGCGAGAAGGCAAGTGATAAAAAATTGCATCCTAATAATTTTCCTCTTATCTCGTACGTTTCGCAGAACCCGCCTACGGAATAAAGTTCGTTCATTGGATTCGTAATGCAGTAAGATTACCGGCAATTATAATTAATTGATAAAAATTAATTATGACGAATTAAGTTATACGTCGGACACGATAGAACGGTTCGGAATTTGTTTGCTTACGCAATTTTGAATGGTAATTCAATGTTAGACGGATTACGATTATGACTTTTTATCAGTCATGATTATTATTATTATTATTTTATTTTTTTTTGACGCGATTGATTTTGTTTTAACGAAACGGAGAATTTATTTGCGTAACGCCGTCTGTATGTCAATTTACTTTTTTATCGTTGCCATTAATTATTTTCATACGCAATCGCTGACAATCAAACTAACCTGCTCCGTGGTAATTACTCGAAAGTTGCACTACGCGGATCAGTGTTAACGTATAGCAAAGCAGTTTATTATCTAACGGTCTGTAATAGAGTTTTCATTTAAGGAGATCATCGTAGTCTTGACAATAATTAGATTGAGGTACGTTTACGTCGATATATACAGCACAAATTGTTACACGACAGTTATCAATATTTATGACTTAATTTTTTAAATTTAAATATTGCGTCTTGCAATTTCTCATTGACAAAGATCGGTTGTCAGGTAGTCAAGGAAAAAATTACTCGTTTACGCAAATCCGACGATTATTGTATTTGCGCGGGAATTATTATTTTTTTTTTCTGTCATTTCAGCAAAATCCTGATATATTATCGTATTATTGCGCCACGTTAAAACTACCAATGAACAAGTTTAAGAGTTTAGCTTTTCATATAAATTATAGGGACAGTATAAGTAATCGATTGGACCGAGTCGTTGGATATTGGATTCCACGTTTTGTTATGTGCAACAAATTAATAAAATCAATGGACGTTCAATCTTTCGATGTTTACAGTCGCAATGTTCGGCCAGTGATACGGTATTTAGATGAACAAAGTATTCTGATATATCGGTGATATACAGATTTTCCATAGTGACTCTTTGTTATTAGATCGGCTTATGACAGCAACGTGAAATATTTAACGTGCCAAATTGATCGCGTTATTTATTTATTTATCGTACCTTTAAGGAGATTCTTAAAGTTTCTTTCTTTTGACGCCGACAAAGATTAACTGACGCGTCTTAAAAAATTTTAATTAATATTTGTCATTATACGCTTTGATCCTTTATATACGATACGTATGTATACACGTAATTACGTAATTACATCATTTACCAATATCTCTGCACGCTACTCAGATTCGCACACACATCAGCCATATTAATTTCTAAAGGAAATTCTAAACTATTAATATCGTTAACAATGGCATTTAGCGCGGGCAGCACTGGCAGTTTATCAACAATAAGAAAAATGTTCAAGCCTTGTGTAAACAAAGTCGCCGTTAATATAGTAACAATTACTTTTTATCCTAATGAACTTTCTTTCATAATTATAAACACGCAGAAGCCCATAACGGTAATAAAAATTTCATTAACAATTACATTCAAATGTGGCCTATACGATAACCAATAGATAAGCGTTTGATACGTTGGGATATACATACTGAATATTTTTTTTGAAATTATTTTTCTATTATTTTCATTCATTTCTTTCTTTCTTTTTTTTTTGCAATTTTTGCACTCGCACTCAGTATGGTTCGCTGTAACAAATCCCCATACGAAATTCGTATTTTACGATTAATACAGTTACAGTATTTTTCTTTGCACCTATTACACAATGTATGTATGTATATATGTATTTTATTGTTATATTATTCATATTCGTTCCTTGTATAAAAGCTTTAGGAAAATAATTATCTCGTCAAGAGTACCTCTTTACCAAATTTCTGTTACGCTACGATAAGTCAAAAAATTTTGCATTTTCGCAACAAGTGTAACATTGGGTATTTACGCGCTGTGTTAAAAAAAATCATCATCATGACGGATTGCAGGAATAAAATTTTGTCGCTGATTCCTTATGCAAGCTCGAATACATTTTGCATTAAAATCGCAGTAAAAGGAAGCGCGAATCGGTATCGTCTTGGTGTTTAATTCGAACAACGATTTTACATCTATCAGCGAAAGCTTGAAAATCGTTCGAATTACTTTTATCCAGGCAGGCGACACGGTGTCTTGTTGACAATGGAATTTCTGAAGTTGCAGAAACCGTGAGAATTGCGGAGAGCGAATCTGGGATAATCACAAAAACAATTTGTTCTTCGCAATTGCGAGGCATCGAGGGTCGCCACTTTTTAAATGCTAATGAGACCGAGAGAGAGAGAGAGAGAGAGAGACAACGAATAAAAAATGTCTAAAAATGGCTTTGAACGCCACTTTTTAAATGCTAATGAGACCGAATGGAATTTCTGAAGTTGCAGAAACCGTGAGAATTGCGGAGAGCGAATCTGGGATAATCACAAAAACAATTTGTTCTTCGCAATTGCGAGGCATCGAGGGTCGCCACTTTTTAAATGCTAATGAGACCGAGAGAGAGAGAGAGAGAGAGAGACAACGAATAAAAAATGTCTAAAAATGGCTTTGAATTTATTTCAGTCGAAAAATTTAGCTTTTCATACTTTTCAATCAAAAGTCCGGAACGACGTTTTTGAGCTCGGACAATGCATAATTAATTTTAAAGTTAAAATTTCGAAAAAAAAACTTCATCATCGACACACGTCAAATGAAAAACATATGAGAACAATTATTGTTCTGAATAAAAACAAATACATATTGTAATTAACAATAACGATTCGTAATCTCTCGTAACGGATTGGCGCAAGTAAACCCTCCGTTTGATTAATGATGAGCCGTTAAAATTATAATTAAGTTTAATGCTAAGTGCAGAGGTAATTATTTTTCATTATGTTTCAGAAAATCCAATCGGGGCTTTAAATATCTTTTAATATTACCCATAATCAATAGTAATCGTTATATTATGTAATTAACGCTCCCGTTATCATTAAGATATTGTACAAGGGACGTGCGACGCGTTACATGCTCGATAAGAAAATATTCTAAATTTCAGCCGCAGGTGATAAAAATTAGCATAGTATTCGCAGAGGTAGTGTATCAGTAAAACGTGGGCGCAAGCGAAACGTAATCTCATGTAGTAAATGAAAAAAAAAAGAAAAAAAAAAGTTGGCTTTATTAAAATAAACAATACCACCAATTGGATGGTAAGTTCATCTGAAAATAAATCCTTTGATAGGCTAGGAGTATTTCATCGAATGCTCATCCTGATTATCAATCAATTACTGTATTACGTATATCTACTTGGATCGCATTGTAATCCATCCGCATGATATATATATTCCATTCTTTAAATATTAATTTTACAAATTCAATTACATGCAACTATTCACTCTCTCGTTCGATCATTTATAAATTTGTCTCTCACACACAGTCATACATACGTCCTGACTCCCTAAACTTCGACTAATCGTAACTGCAAAATCTCTGGGTTTTTTTTTTTTTTTGACAGCCCGTGTCATCGAAGCGTCAAGTCTGGTGACTAGTGGAATCGTCGAGCAATTTAATTTCCACGATCGCGGAATACAGAATAAAATTTTTTCTTATTTTGCTTCCAAAAAAAAGAAAAGTGTATCCACTCTCTTATCACAAGCGTCATATCGTTATACTCCGGAGTCATTTGTACGTTATGTGCGTAACGTATGATAGTACAATAATATAACGTTATTAAACCTTAGCAAGAATAATTAATGTGTATGTGTATACATAGTGAGTGTGTGTATAATTAATTACTAATTAAGGATCCTATTAATTAAGACCCTCGAGTGAACTATCAATCTTAGATCATGACTCCGATGCCTTTCCAATGAGTATAGTAATCATCGATCATCATCATCAAAATTATGATTAAACTGCGTCAAAAGTCATGAATTCCCTATAAATTCATATATAGGTAACTTTATTTGATTATCCTCGTAATCAAATCACGATAATGGCTTCCGACTCCGAGCAACAATCCAACGATCATACGCGACCAACAATATATCTCGGAGCGGCTCTTAAACCCGCCTGGGTATTTTTCGATCCTCGATTAAGAGGCGCACGGCTTGCGAGGTCTTACTTGATTCCTGGAACTTGGTCAGATTGCTCTTAGACGCCGGTCTGATTAAATATGTAAGATACGTTGCTGTCCTGATGTACCGGTGGACCGTGGCAGGTCCTCCTTGTCGAGGAATTGTTATTATTGACGTAGTACGAGGACTTCCTCATGCTGGTGGAAGATGACATCATGGCTACGGTCTCGTAGTAGCGCAGCTTCCCGCAGCATCTTCCGCTCTTGAGAATGGCCATAAAGCCGCGTCGATATTTTTTATTGAAGAAAGCATAGAGTATCGGATTTATCGAGGAATTACTCGAGCCGAGCCACTGAGCTATCGGAGTCGCTATCTGCAAGATTTCCTCCTCCCAAACGGGCGTCTTGCCTCGCAATTTGATCCTTGCGAAAATAATGTAGAGCGGCAGCCAGGAGAGGACGAAGAGTATTACTACGGCCACGAGCATCTTCACGACCTTGACCTTCGACTTCTGCTGTATCCTCTCCATCTGCGCGTCCTTCGTATCAGTCGGGATGTGACGTCGCCATACTTTGATCCATATCAGGATGTAGCAGAGGGAGATCAGTATCATCGGTAAGACGTAACAGAGCATCAAGTTCCCAATCAGGAAGAACATGGTCTCGTTTTCCTGACGCGGCCACTTTTCCAAGCACAATTTCAAATCCGGCTCGTCGGCGTAGATCGGCACCAGATCGAAGTAGAGCAGCCAGGGCGAAGTTATGGTCAGGGCGGCGAACCAGATTGCCACGATCATCACTCTCGCTCGTCGCTTTGTTATTTGACACTTGAACGGCCACCAGATCGCCAGGAACCTGCGAATTGCATCAGGGTAATTAAGTATTGACACATTCGATTGTAATGACACGGAGGCTGTGACAGATCAAAATAGAAAATACTCTGGCCTTTACTCTTTAGTTTTTATTGCCTTTTAGTCACGGGTGAGAATTTATTTTAATTATTACAAAATTCTGTGCATCCCTCGCGTTAGAGTTTTATGCACATTTTTCTCTATGGCTACAATTACGCTGGCTGTTATGCGTGTCTTATGGTGCTTGGAGATTATTGTATTTAGTATGCTGGCTCTGTCTGCTTGGCGCATGTAACGAAGGCTGGTTGGACTTGGGAATATTGTTTCATTTTATTTTTTCTAAGTCGCACTGGCACATGTTGTAATGTACATTCTCGATTTCGAAAGGAACGCACGTGTTATGCTTGGCTAACCGCAAACTGGGATCGGGTCATGTAACTTACGTTTATATCAAAAGGTAATTGAACGTTTCGCGTGGTATCGAATTGTAAAAATATATTACATATGCGTGCGCGAGATAGTACGGTGGGTATGTCTTAAAAATTGTGACCGCGAAATTGATCTGGGGTTTATTTTGTTTTTTTTTCTTTACAGTGTATACTTCGTCTCACATCACTTCCCGTTTACTTTTATGCCAATTTTACGTTATAACGTCGTACGGTTTCTTGTGTCCTATATCTGCTTTCTTGGTTTACGTTTCATTTCATTTTTCATATTATATTGACAATCAGCTGCTTATGTATGTCTTTACTCGGCTTTATACTTTCGGGATGATGCTGAGGGGTTTTTTTTTTTTTAATTCATTGAGATAAATGTTGGGACTTTGTATAGGGATGCGAAGGATCCCGCTGAAGCAGATGTAAAAAAATTCATGGAAGAGACACAGACGGTATTTACTGCGAGCAATGGACGGACGATGAGGATGCTGCGGAAATACGGAAAGAGAAAATCATAAAAATATAAAGGAGAAGACGAATTTAATGGAAGGATTTCAGAGTCGAAATTTTGGAAAAATACGAGGCGCCTTAACGCTCGTTTGAATTTCAAAGAATGAAATATTTTTGTAGAATGTTTCAGTATTTCCTACTTTTTTTTTTCTCCTTTTTTTTTTCATCCACACTTCCGGTTTTATACGTCTTTTACGATGTACTCGTTCTCCTTTGTCCAACGGCGTCCGGTTTATTGATTCCACTTTGCTAGGAACAAATTGTTCGCCTTGTAACCGTTGTGGAATTTCTATGGGACTGTGTATATATATAGATATATACGCAAACACCCGCAACCATTTATATAAGGGGTGTGTTCGGAATTTACGAAGGAGGGTATAATGCGTAATATGAAAAGGTATATATATACATATGGAATACTGTAGGTTATAAATACAATTGGGTTTGGAGTTGGATTTTAAATTTTTGATTTATTCGATAATCGGAAAATAAATTATTGATCGATTTAAAGTCTGATATATATTCAATTGAATGTAAGTTACATCAATGTATAGAAATACTTAACGTTCAAGCTGATGCTGAATACTTAATGGCGGATTCCGATACCTCTCATAATTGAATTTTCAAATTTGCGAAATCCTCAAACAAATTCTCGACCCTCCGCCATTTAATCTTCTTAATTTTGTTTTTGGGTTACCCATCTATCAAATTATTTTATTAAAATATACGAACGTTCGATCGTTTCCCCAAGTGGATTAAAAATTGGATTCAATTGCCTCAGATTATTTGTACACACTGTATATTATTGCGTGGAATAATAGACAGCTAAGGGCTATCTTTACGTATCCAAATTTTATTTATTTATGTGGTAGAAAAATTAATGCAGCCACACCTTAAAATTGATTTCATTAATTGAAACGTCATTTCCTTGGAATACACATCTATATTCTTATCTTCGAGACAATTTAAAAATGCCCGAGTACTAGATTTATAGAGTGTATTGTAATTATACTGAATTAAAAGAGACTCGCATATGATTAATAGTGATCGATTTATCGAGGACAAATGTCATTTTTTTTTAAATAACAGATCTCCATTGATTCGCTTCCTTACACTATTCATCTGTTTAATGAGAAACTACGATATCAATCTCAAAACCTTGGATCAATCGTGTAGCCAATTGGTAATCTTTGAACTCTTGTCGGAATCAAAGAATCTAATGATAAATCAGTCATTGTTCTTGGATGGTGCTCAATGATTTTGTAGTGTTACGTACCAAGAGCAACCTTAATGCAAAAGAATCCGCTATCGAACGTGTAACGTGACAAGGCCAGAAAAAAGCTGCGCCAAAGAGCATAATGCATTAACGTGTTCAAGGTTCTGAAGTTAGTGGGGTAAATGATGATAAATCTGAAGAAGGTTTCAGCTGCAAGTATAAAAGGATGTACATGGACAGTGGTTTAGTATCCAAGAGCGCCTCTCTTGATTCACAATAAAGAGTTAACAAGCAATAAAGCGGTAATGTATAAGCTGGTGAGTTTATAGAAATTTCTATTTAAATTATTATCAATGTCTTTCGTTATTTATTTTATTATTTTTTTCACAGATCATTCTTGCTTTTGCCATTGTGGCTGTCACTGCTGCACCTGCACCTGTGCCACCTGCCACAATCTTAGGACCAGTGCTGCCACCGCAAACTGTACTTTTGGCACCGCCACCGGTGGTCAAGGTGGTTTCGGCACCGTTGATCTCACCGGTTCATCCTGGCTTTTATCCACATCCGGTCCATGCGTCTGGTCTTGCGTATTATCCAGTTTTACCACATTAACGTAGTCACGTTATTATTGATTTACTTGAGTATAAATGTTCACATTGATGTGGCTTCTCTTCGGTCCCATTTATTTTAAATAAACTTTTTTAACTGTGTAGAACTTCGAGAAATTTGTTTCACTTTACGTGCTAAATAAGTATGCTTTCGTTGATGAAATTCAAATTTATTTTCGGGTAGCTGGCAAGACTCAAAAACAAGGATAATGAACGATAATGTTTATGCCGGCACTGTGAAAAGTATGTAAACGACATTTTTTGGTGTAAAAAAATTTTCGTTTAAAATCCCAAAGCATTTATTAAATTGGAAATGTAAAGCGTGCTTCGAGAGAAGGAAAAGAATCTCTCATATATTTTTAAGTACCTTAAAACCGTTAATGTTAAAATTTTTCATAATCAAGCATCATGAATTTACGTAAAGCTGATACATAAACAGGTCCTTAAAAATGTCAACTAATTTAATTAACAATTAAAAATTAAATCAGGGTAGGGTGAATCAGATGTCAATGAGAGTTCTCGAATTACAATAAAAATTTTATTAAAATTCCGCGTAATTGAAGGGGGCTACAGGGAAGAATGATGATCGGGTGATGATTCAATAATGGGACAATTTTGTGATGACATACAAAAGTAGAAATAAAAGACGAGAGTTCGTATGGCCGCATGATGATGTCTCTCTAACGAGAAATGATGTTAAACTTTTTTTTTGGTCTGTCTTTGTGGAAGACAGGTTGTTGCGCAGTCCTGGGAAAGGGGGGTCTCAAGTTTTTTTTCATCCATACGAGACTGCCTAATGAAGTCCAAGAAGACCATGACCATGACCGTTCAGCACGGTTCTGGTAATGATGGGAGCAACGTGGACGACAGGGGCAACGGGTTGAGCTACGACATGTGTGGCAACATGTGCGGGTGCAACACTGATTACGTTAGGAGCGTGGACTGGTCCATATCCATGGCTAATCGGTATACCGGTCAGACCTCCAGGAGCAGCAACAGCGACGGCCAGAATGGCGGCGAGAACAGCCTGTACCACAATTGAAAAAAAAAATCGTTCAGAAATCTTATAAAGATTGGAGTTTAAATTGAGTATTTTGGTAAGATTCGTTTATGTGCGATTCGAGTGTTATTTACAATGAGATTGAACAATGGCGAGCAGCTTTGTGACTGTCGAGAGAGCACGTGGGCAAGTTATGCGTCACTGTGGATTTACTTTTTCAGAAATGTCAAACTGCATTCCTTTTTGCTGTGTTACAAGCGGAGAAATTGCCATTTAAACTATGGGCTTGGTGTTGGCTAACAATGTGCATGCTTCAGTGATTTTACCTAGACTTTTGTGACCCGAGTTCGGAGAACGTTTAAGTGAATGTGAAGGCACGATTGTACAGTTCATTCTAATGGAATGGAATGTTTTCAACGAAATTTCGACAATTTGAATATTTCTTTTGATTAGAGGGTGACTAATTTGAGGTGAATGTTTGTGGCGGATGAATTTTCAATTCGTGACTAACTTTACGAAGTATTTTATACATTGTGATTTTGAGGAATGAGACTTTTTATGAATTTCTTACAAGTCTGTTAGTCTAATTCGAAAACTGTATTGAGATATCGAAAATTTGATAATTGTATTTTTCTTGGGTGAAATATTATTTCATGGATTATTTAATATAATTTTTCGTCTTACCAACTTGAACATGTTGAATGGATTGATGTAGTTTACTGCTTGGAGCTGAGTAAGCTTATGCTGTCACTGTGCGAAGCCGGGATTTTATAGCAATTCTTAAATTAAAAAATCGAGTCCCAACCACATAAGCAAATTTGGTCACGTGGGCCAATGAACTGCATGACGACGTAACGCGAATAGTTGAGTCAGCCGGTTTTCTTATGGTGGGAGTTTCAGTGACCAATAATTTGCAAGCCCCTGTGCAAGCCTGGACGTAGTCAGCCAATCAACAACCCTGCCAATTGAACTGTAACGTATTTCGCAATATTTGAGACTTTTAACCCCTTGGATCTTAAAAAAAATGTTGTTGTGAAACTTACTGACGAAACTGCTAGAGATATGGCATAATGTCTTGAAATTTGTCAAAACATTTTTTCGTCGCTCCATTCTCATAATCATTCAAGCCTATACGATAACTTTCAAAAATTACCTATCTTTCATAGTTTTCAGTCACAATAAGACCAGACTATTTTTAAGGAAGATCAACCTATTCGACTATGTGCAATATTGCCTAATACATTATCCTGGAATCTTTTTAATTTTGGAACACGATAGCGCCACGTCGGTCAACAAAGATATCTTGTATCCAATATACAAATTCGCATCCAATTTCAGTTTCTTTGATGATGATCACTGTCGATTGACTGGATCAATCAAGCTCTAACTAGCTTTTAATTATAATTCCAATAAATCAAAATCGTTATACGGTACCGACCATCTGAATTACACTGTGCACTCAGTATCTGTTAATTTTTCGATATCGCAACTGCTAACAATAGCAGCAATGCAGTAACAATCATTTTATACGATATGAAATTCTTTTTGTTTTTCACTTACAATGAAAGGTATATAAGAAGTTAACTGTATTAATTTACTTGAATTCCACGTACAGGTATTCAATATATGAATAATTTTTATGTACCGAATATTAAATTATTAGTGCCATTAGACCGATAGATAAATTTTAACATTTTTTCCCAATTGGATAACCTGATACTCTGCTTTGTAAGTAAGAGTTCATCACTCAGGTTAACCCCTAATAGAAAATTAAGTAATCATCATCAATCAAAGATCACGTAAACAGCCAATACATCTCTATACAAAATATATTGGCAAAAGTCGCTCCCCTTCTGTTAAAATTTGAATACACGTTACATCCAATTCATAATATCGATCCATGATACATTAGCGTCAACAGCTGTTCCACAAAAGATAATCAGACAATAAAGAATTAAAATAACAAGTGATACTCGAGTCAAACGACAATTCATTCGTCAGGTGATCTATTGAAAGTATCGCTTCTCTTAGATATCAAAGAAAAATATATTATTTTTCAACCAAGAGGTCCTGTCGAGATCTCATAGAAAACAGCTTCAAGTAAATTCACTCTAAATCGCTAATATCGTTCAGCGGGAGTTCGCTTGATCTCTGCCCATTTCATTATGTGCCACAAGACATTGCAGCCTTATGGCCCGAAAAACTATTTCACTATGTTCAATCTACGTCTCTCTTTCTCCTTGGTGATCTGCAGGTTTATCTCTTTGTCAGTCCCAAGAATTTTGGGAAGCTCTGGACTCCAGATCGGAGCATTCCTCAAGTATTCTCAAGTGTTTTATAAGTTTTACATTGGAAAAGTCTATTCCTTTTCGTTTCATTCGATTAGGTTGGAAGGAACTTTGGTCTTTCACTTGTATCGCATACGGCAGCGTTATCAAGTTTTTGATTAGTGATATTTCAATTTTTATTTTACTTTTTCAGTTACCGTTACCATTTTGTTTGTACATTTCTCTTGATTCCACTCTTTGATCATCTCTCACCATGAAAAAGTCTATTTCTTTTCGTCTCATTAGATTAGGTTGGAAGGAACTTTGGTCTTTCACTTGTATCGCATACGGCAGCGTTATCAAGTTTTTGATTAGTGATATTTCAATTTTTATTTTACTTTTTCAGTTACCGTTACCATTTTGTTTGTACATTTCTCTTGATTCCACTCTTTGATCATCTCTCACCATGAAAAAGTCTATTTCTTTTCGTCTCATTAGATTAGGTTGGAAGGAACTTTGGTCTTTCACTTGTATCGCATACGGCAGCGTTATCAAGTTTTTGATTAGTGATATTTCAATTTTTATTTTACTTTTTCAGTCACCGTTACCATTTTGTTTGTAAACTTCTCTTGATTCCACTCTTTGATCATCTCTCACCAGGAAATAGTACCAGACTCATAATACACATATTTCTAGCAGATCGATACAGTTGATATATGGTACTGGTTGGTGATACAATGAAGGTCTTCATAAGCAGCTATAGTTTTTTCTTCGTATCCATCAATCATTGGTTTGTTAAGACTCATCTTCGGTAAAACACAATGACTTGGATTTCAGTGGATTGTTCAGTCAAGTATAAGATAGGTTTTTTTTTAAAATTCACTTACTTTCCCTACCTGTGTGGGTAAATTAATGTTCTTAATGGAATTTCAAATAGCTTTTTTCTTAAATTGAAAAAAAAAATACATTTCTTATCTGCTGTATATACATGTAGTTCATAATGGTGTGTACTTTGAGTTCAGGCTGGAGTATTTTCTTTTTATGCATTTTTATTATTATCAGAAACACGTACCTGTCTAACGAAACTGCAACAAGACTGTACACAGAGGCAGCTACTGAAACACCCTGTATATATGGAACGGTTTTGCACATAAACCATCCCAGGATCCATGCTGAAACAGAGAAGACTTTTTAGTAATGTAACAAATGTGCAAGGAATCAAAATTATATTAGCTGCTTCACAATTATATAATTACTCCAACATCATTGTATTGACAATTATAGGCTTACTGGGAAACAATTACTCATGATTAATGATTTAATTTAAATGAAAAATATCAGCAGGGTACAAGCTAGACAAATATATTGGTAATTAATACAAGCAAAATAATGTTGTTATACAAGATTGATGGGAAAGTCTAAATTTCTAAGTAATGCAAAAAATGAAGCTAGAAGCTGTGAATTTTTAATTAATAAATTTTCAATTTCATCCCCTAGGAAATATTCCAAGTCGTAAAATCTACTCCGAGTGTTTCGCGGTTTGGTTTTTATTTTTTTTTTTCAAATTTCCAAAGGGTACACGACCTGCTTTAAATTCATGTATCACGTATTTCTCTTTTCGTATCTGATATACATGGAAATACATCGTTCTCCATATTGGTTTGGGTCGTGACCTTTGAAACTTATCATCCTGCCTATACGCGAACTGCATATATTTATTGTTTGACTCATTTTATCTCCGTTACCGACTACGAAGGATTGTGTGAAGTGAAGGGCACTTGCTGCATAGAAAGGTAATCTCAATCAGCGATCGAGCGTTAAGTGGGTAATTATGCGACCGAATACGTAATCCTGACTTTCATAAGAAGTCTGGAACTCCTGTGGGATGCATACATCATTATATCTTGAATCATAGTTGTAGATATATACGAATAACGTTAAGACTCCACCACTTTGCTGGGCATTAAACGCGTATGGATCAATCCTATTAAATTATAAGAAAATTAAAGGCAACTTATAAAAAGTGTAATAATTTATAAATATCGTTGCTAAATGATCCATAGGAAAAAAAAAAATGTGCCACGATCTAGGATAAATTATTTCAGGAGATAATAAAATTCTCGATCGGTGATCTAATCCTATGAGTTACATCGATTGGTTATTTCCAAAGAGCCAAGCATCATAAATACACACATTGAATAATCGAAAATTTTTTAAATATCTTTCGGTTCCATGATATTACGAATCTCGTTTTATATCAGATTTGCAAAATGAATATGTATATTCGAATCGATTAAGGTCACCAAAGACTGATCAATAACCCTGACAATATTATCGGAAAGGTGCCATAATCTCGACTGAGATTAAATCTTGGCACATATAAATGAGATGATTTTCATGTAAGACATTTTTCTAATATCAGACCAATCGAGAGTTTATGAAAAAAAAGTACTGACAAAAAATGCAATCGATATCATCGACACGTATCGATCGATAAGATTGAGTGCCTCTGGAATATTACGTTTGGCTATATCCTTTATACGTGGAGTCGAAGTATATTGATTTCGAAAGTATATCCGATGGTCCATGGAGCCTGGAAAAACGATCTAATTCTAATTGGACAGTTACATTGGCACGTGTGGGTGTTCGGAGAATATATGAGTACCCCTGTGTTACTTGCACTGGGGCCATATGTTATCGACTATTTCCACCCTATATAAGCTACAACGCTTTTCATATTCACATTGTCCAATATCTGAATGCCCTATATATATTTCTCTTTTTAAGTATATATATATATATATAACTTGATAAAGCAAGAAACATTATCACGGTCTTATGAAGTGGCTATTACTTCAATAAACTCGTTGAGTGCTCTTGTTGTTTCGCCTGGCTAAAATGGTGCAGAACTACCCAGACTCCCGGTAGGATTAATCTGCAAAAGTCTAGAGGACGTAGGGCGAGTTAAGAGAATTAAAAAAAATCACATGTAAAAAAGAAGTAAAGCAAATTAAAACAATGGAAAATATAAAGGAATTAGGTGGCAGCCTCTATAGGTAATACCGTACGAAATGATTTGGTAAAACAAATAATTCCAATAATTTGTATCCTTGAAAGATTTGCAATATATGCAAAATTTTCAGCAGGTTAAATAAATGAGGTTGTGTAAGGTTTTAAACGAGTTTCGTTTAAATACAATTATTGCATTATATAAATACCTGAGCAATATTTAAGTATCGTTATGGCACTAGTAGTTGAAGTATCCACTACAGCCTGTACAATTACAAGATTTCTTAAAGCGATAACGAAGGAATAGCATTGTAATTTAATGACAAGGTATAAAAGTGTTTATCAAGTTTCTACAATCGTCTACTGTGCCAATTAATTACTGGTATAGAAATCAATGAGTCGTAGGTCAGTAACAATATGGCGTCTATATGGTACCTCGACGCTCCTTGTCATGTGCGAAGAGATAATCGTAAAGGCCATGGTGGTGCCATAGCGCACCGAAGAGGTAGGATTTACGTAATTGTTCGGTGACGTAATAACAATGCCATTTTCGGCCGTATTTCCTTCTGCACACTCCCACATTACCTTTTGCGTAAATACACAACAAAAAAAAGGATTTGCTTGAAAAACGTAAAATTATTTAAAAATATATCATAAACATGTGTATATCTATATATTGTACGGTATAAATAATTCTGGTACGTAATAACAGAATTGAATTATTTTCAGTAGATCATTGAAATCCTTTACTCCTTTATCTGCATCGGCTTTCTCCATGGCCATTTTCAAATTCACCGGAAGTACATTACACCAGGACCTTGCCCGAGCTCGTATATTGCATATGTAGATTTTTATGTACCTCCCAGACCATACATACTGCAGCATACTTTCGTTGCAGTGGTTTTTAGTATTTCAGTATCCCGGATCCAGGGAAACTTTTAAGGAAGCCGTCAAGTTAGGCGAACCGTGAATTACACGTAGATTCCCTTTGAAGCGAACGATGCGCGTTATACGTTGCTGATATAACGTTAGGTGTATCTATATTCAAAGTATTTAATGATAAAAAGTATATGCACTCTTAAAATTCGCCTATGCGACCTATGTTATATTTTAACAACACAGCATTTACCGTGGCTGTGTATATGCCATTATGTTACCGTATTGACTATACCCATTAACACTACGAAAATAAATTTTGAAATCCTATAGAAAAAAAGTTATCTTCATAAACCTTATAAAGCCCAAGACTCCAAATCCCTATTCGTGGCTCGTTTGGAAGGTGGATTAATTTTTTTCAAAGTACGTATTTAAAGGAGGGTAACGAAAGGGATGATAGGCAGAATCGAACTTAAATTTATCGAACTTCTTCAGGTCTGAATTTTCGTGGATATTTTGTTCATAATCGAGAAAGTACAGGGATGAAGTAATAGGATTAAATTGCCTGTAGAATTAATGAGAAAACTTGTATTATCGATTACTCGATGTAAGCAGTGTTATTGTCATATGAAAAAAGAACTTGAATTTATTTATTTTAAAAATTTAACTAACAGCCAGCATCCCTTCAACTGATAATATTTTTTCAGATAGGTTCTACCTGTCTTGTAACTTTGAAACAGTCGCTATTATCCGCACGAAGTTATCTCGCCAATTTTATTATCCCGTATCTATTGGTACAGCAATGTAATCTCGTACAATCGCAGAGCGTTGCGCAACGCACGCAATTCACGTTTCACGCATACCGTATGACTGTTGCCGAGTTAGATCGATATATAGGTATACGCTGTAAAGGCAAAGTACAGGACCAGTTTAATATATAAATACGCAGAGATAATCCCGTAACCAGTTTCACGTGGTATATGAATGATTTCAGTAACACGAATCATATTATACAATGTAAACTTGAAAGGCGACCGACGCTTATAATTATTGATAAAGTAATTAAAAATTTCAAATTGACGTAATACCGTGTCGGTAATGTATTCGTGTCTGTCGTACGCAGACAGAATATTATAGAAACGTTACAGTACATTTGAATAATCATAAAGGATGACGGGCCTTGAAAATGGCAAAAGGACGTTGATTCTCAATGTTTTACAACGATAAGTGATATATTTATGTGTAATAGAAAAAAAATATATTTTTTATTAGCCATACCCATATTAACCCTTTACGTACAAGAGCCTGACTTCAGAGGATTAAGGGATAAGAAACGATATACATAGGTCTACTGTAATTCGGTTATTTATGAGTTTAAATTAAGGAATGGGAAAATCTAATTATAAATCGCTGAAAAAGAAAGTTTTCTTGTAACCCTTTCGCGATATAAAAAGTCTTTTACCTAACCTGTACGTCATGATTAAAAAAGTCAAAACCCCTCTCGAATCCTTTTTCCACGATTATTTCAGATTTAGTGCTAAAAGGTTTCGTACGAAACGATGTATATTTTGCATATATGCAAGATAGCATCGTAGCCAAAGTTCTTGGTGAAGTCATGCAAATGTTTGTTCGGTATGACAATTTTTTGTCTAGAAATACAAAGGGCTGCGAACAAAGGGTTATATAAAAAAAAAAGGCCAAGATGAATAGCAAGGTCTTGTCAGTGGCGCAAGGTCACCCTAATGCACTTGCCACACTGCAAACTGCAACCCGAGCAGTATCATATAAGAACATTACGGCAGCCTTGAAAATGACGCCCAAGTAAATGATCCTTCACGTAGCAAAAGCCAAGGGCGACTTTCACAATGGATACCCCCCGGAAATCATCCCCATCTACAAGGCTTATCAATAACGCAACTTCGCATGAATGCAGCCGCAAACAGACCAGACGTTGCTATTTCGCATCAGCACTTTCGCAAAGCGTCAAGCTTCGATCAGACATGCAGTTTCCGGTTGGTATCAGATTTTACGGTCCTATTCGTAACGCCTAGGGACGCGATTGGTTATAGAAAAATTCCATCAGCCCACAGGAAATAATAAGATAGGCGAATTTTCAGCATTCGCCAATATGCTTGTCGCTTTGGTACCATAACCGAAGGAGATAGCACCTTATACGGGACGTGTTATTTTGGCACTGATTATATTGATGCTTGGGATACACCGGCATCGTGTATCGTGTGTGTCATATGCACTTATCATAAATGGCATAATGCTTCCCACAGAATAA